GGTAGTTTAGAAAAAAAACTTAAGTTTTGTTTTAGCAAATTTTGGTGCAAGTGATCGTCGGGAAGAGTTAGTGAATCAGATCTCTAATTATAATTTTTAAATATTTAGGTTCCTATACTTGTTTATAGTAATCCGAATATTAATCAAAAAGCAGCGCCCTTTATTACTTTAACCATAGTCTTTGATTTTATAATTGATTTATATGTAACTTTATGGTTAGTTATAATATTAGTTAAAGCTAATAATAATATTAGTGAGAAAAAACAATCACCTTTTTTAGCAATTTTAATATGGAGCTATTTATTTATTTTTTTCAAACATATATAATGTTATTGGACTTTTTGTAAATTACTCTTCATATGGGAATTATGATGCTAGCATAAAAACATTAATTAATATAACTTCGTCTTGGCTAATAACTAAGAATCATGAAATAATAAAATATATAAAAAATAAAGGCGAACTTACTACTTAATATTTTTAATTAGCATTATTAATTGAAACAGAATTTTATGACAATTCTTTTTTTACAATAATTATATTTATTTTTATTTATTATATGCTACGTACTAATTTAAAAAGAATTTATATTTACAAGAATACCAAAGAAAACAATAAAGGTGACAGAATTGACTATGAAAATGAAAGTAATAATAAATCTGACGATGAAAATATTGATAAGAATTATGATAAAAGCAAAGAAGACCAGGCAAACTCAATTACACGGTCTCGATCACCACTTACTCCTTTATCTGTTCCGCAAGCGACTCAAGATGATACTACACAAGAATTTCAGTTTAAGGGTTTAAATTTTAACTTTACTAATTGTAAAGTTAAAATTTTCATTAGTAGTTGAATAAGTTGAATAATTTATTTATTTTTTTTTAAACTGTAAATGTAAAAAACATTAATTTAAATTTGCTGTAATAATTGCCCGGGTTGTTATTAAAGGGTAATATCCCGGCTATGCTTAAAAACTACTAAAATATCTCCCAGTTATATGTGTGTGCATAATAAAAAAATCGGGGTATTTTACTTAATAATTTACTGGATTTATAATGTACTAACCAGTTACAAATTACCTCCTGAAAAAAATCATGTAAGAGAGTTGAGCCAGGGTATTAGGCAAAAAATAGTCAGATATCCACGGATCCAAACACTAGTAATGAAGATATCAAATACAAAATTTTTATTGTTATATTATTTCACATAACTTTCATTTGTCAGTAGGGTCGGAAAATTACTGTAATTTTATATTATCAAAATTACATGTAATTACTGTATAAATTACAATTCTGAACATAATGATATCTATTTTAGTGCTGGCAAAACTTTTGTTATGTCAGTACAATTATCATGTGACAATGCACTATTTAATGTAAAGTTAAATAACAGTTTCGTAAATTACAATGTAACGTATGTAATTTTGCGTAATACTTGTCAGTAGGGTTGGAAAATTACCGTAATTTTTATAAGTTTGTTATTTAAATATTTTTAGCAAAAATTTTATAAAACTGGCATTAAAAATAAATATAATTATTTAGTTTAATACGAGCGCAATTAAGAAAATTCAATTAAAAATATGGATAAGTCTATTTGTAACAACATGTTACGTAACGGTAACAACCTATACTTAAATTCTCTGTAACACAAAATTTTACTAAGGTAATCTCTTTTGTGCTGTTAATGAAAAATGACCCTCTCACAATTTTGTATTAATCTTGACATTAATTTTAAACCTAACCTAACACTAACCTAACCCTAACGCTAACCCAAACCCTAACTCTAATATTAGCAGTTGTTATGTAACAGGTTGTTACAAATAGATTATTTCTTAAAATATAATTATATTCGTCCATAATGCTTATTTAACTTGACTTTAAATCATCGGTATTAAACGGTATTTATATTTTTATTTCAAGACGTTACCCTCGTTATTAAATTGTCAGATATCATTGCAAATAAAAAGGAATCTTGTCATTGCGCTTATTTATTCCAATTATCGCAGTTTTGATAACTATTTTCATGAAATATTATTTTTATTTAATTTGTTATTATCTAGTAAAATTGTAAAGCTCATTAATAAATTATATCATTTTACACCTAATAACTTCGCTTGCACCAAAATCGCTTCTAGAATTATATTGATTTACCCAAGTAGTTGCGCTAGTAAGACCAAGTGTTGAAGCTTTTTTAATTAATTCTCGCCCTTGTGCAATATTTTGTTTACAACCGAAGCCACCAAGTAAGCACATTCCGATTTTATTTATTACTTTACTTTTAGTAAAATTATTGCCTTTATTCTGAATTGATTGAAGAAACTCGAAGGCTGTTTTATAATTATCCAATGCGCATGTGACCTTAAATGTTTTGTTTAGTTGTCTATTGTATTCATTTTCAGCTTCTTCAAAGATTTTTTTAGCTTCATTAATTCTTATGAAAAGTTCTTGTAATGGATTTGTTCCCCCCCCCCCCCCTGTTATCTCTTCGAATTTGGTTAATTATTTCTAAGGATTGTTTAAACTTTTTTATTTTTAGACCATTATCTGATGACATTGCTTTTTTTAAAGATGTTTAAGATTTGTCTGTTAATTTTATGAGTTATTTATATTTAACTTGTGGTGGAATCGGATATTCGTGGTCTAATTTATATTATGTTAACTTTATAAAGAATACATATTAATGGTTTATTATTTGATTTAATAGTATTAAGCAATTTGGTTTATTTAATTTGATTTTAATGAAAAAGTTTAAAGAAATGAGGCCTTTCCGGGTTTTCAGCTACTCAAATACTCCATTTTTTTAAAAGGTCCAATTAGGGTGTCCAGAATTCTGCGGTGCATAATTCTGGGCACTCTAGGTCCAATAATCATATGACATCACTTTTCTCGAGGTAGCACAGCAGAAGATTCGTATTAGTTAATTCAAAACATTTTTTGATTAATCAATCAATTGAAATTTCTTAAAAAACAATACAACGTTTTGACTAAGAAATAAGTGCGATGTCATAGGATTTATAAAAATATGCTGAAATGAATTTTAATAAATACAAATTTATTAAATTAATCATAATATCATTAATAGTTACCAAGCAATGGACAAAGAAACATGAGAATAAAAATTGGAATGAATAGTAATGCCAAACAAATATTTATTTTCACCCCTTCAGACATTTTTTTTAAATTCGACTTTATTTAATTGTCACCATATATATAAGTACCATTTAATTTTATTATACAATTAAAGTTTATTTTCATTTACTTAAAACAATGCAGTTCGCTGAATTCTGGATTCATTGTAAATAAAATTAAATTTTTATATCACAATACATTTTAACTATTCGCTAGATAAATTATACTTTTCGTTAATTGTTTAATTAATTCATATCTTGCGCAAATATGGTGTCGAGTCAATAGAAATCAAGAAAATATTTTTTTAATAAGTTTTTACTTTAATTAAAGTATAATTTGGCAGAACTAGAGCTTAATTTGGGCAAAATTTGCATATAAATTTTGGAAAAATTAAAAATAGAATCAGTTAAATTAAAGATCCTTATCCCTACAACTATTGAAAAGTATTGAAAATAATAAATTACAGTAACTAATGAATAAAAATTTTTCATCAAATCAACTAATTGAAAGAATTCAATTTATTTTCATAGAGTTATAAGTAGGAAAAATTACATTCAGATGACAATGGAAGACAATACGTATCAAAATCATATCGTTTAAATTAAACTTTCTCTGAATAATCTGCAGTTAAATTTAATAAATATAATAAAAATCTTTTATGAATTTAAAATCGAATTAAATTTATTTATTTATATCAGTGATCTATTATTTACATCTCTTTAGTATTTTAATAATAATAAATTCGAATTATTAATTAGCCAATTTTATTTACATTGCTAGGTGCTGAAAAAATCAACAATTTTTTAAGAAAAGAATACCTTATGAGTTTGTAAAATTTTGCACTAATGGAAGAATCAATCACTAAAGAAAATTATTTTAAAAAATTTGAGGAAGCTTTAAAATTACATAAATTAAGAGATAAAAATAATAAAAAAACTGACAGAACTAACAATGTATTGTTCTTTAATTTGTGAATTGTATTTATGGATACCGAATTATTCCAATTTAAAATGATTCATAATAATTAATTAGAAATGTGAACTGCGACTATAGTTTTGTTATAAATTCTGTAAATATTTTTAATTTTCAAGGATTTTCAACAAAAAATACTTAAAGTTTGGAAGTTGTTGCTTATTTAAAATATGTCAATTTTTAAAT